GTTATCCATTTTTTTTTTAAATAATTGCATGTGCCTTAAAATTTTGGTTTTCAAAAATGTAGAAACGGAATATAGATGAAAAAAATATGAGAGTTCAACCACTGCACCAGATTCCAGTGAGATATCTCAAAATTTGACCCCCAGATCGAAAATTTCACCTCTCTACCTTGTGGACAAAGATGACATATGAAAAGCGATAATGTGAACACATATATATTGCACAAACCGGTTTCGATATCACTTCATCAGTGTGCAAATATATAAATGAAACACACAAAATACAAAACGGAGACGAAATAGGTACAGCAGAGCAAATTAATTTCAAATACTTTCATATGACCTCATGTGATTGAGATCCCAAGACGCTTCCGCACCAAAAGAACGGCTAAACTTTTTCCCAATCGTATGTCACCAGCTTTGGAATTTACACACAAACAGGATTCAATGAGGGACGATTCAATCGTTTTTCTATCGGACCTACTTAACCTATCTCGTATGACCTCAGTGCGATCCCAATCAGGTAAACTACCACACTTTTCGGCATGTTTCACCATTGCATTGTTAATATTGTGGTTCCTAAAATCTCTCTTGTGCTCCATTAACCTGTTCTCAAGCCCTCTCGACGTTTCACCAAAATAAGGCTGTGTACATCCCTTGCACGGTATTTTATACACTAAACTTGCTTCACTACGGTCACACTTTTTCTTTTTGCTACAACCTGACCAATCTTCTCCCCAGCCTTTTCCACAATCTGAATATCAGAGCACTTCAACATCTTTGATAATGCTTCACAATTCTGTGACCTGGGTACAACAACTATAGCGTTCTTTGTCTTTCCGTTTGTTTCGTTTCCCGTCCTATTCTTGATCCTTTTTGCCTTATTAAAGCATTCAATTATAAATGCCCTGGGGTACCTCAAACCTCTAAAAACGTCAGTGATATGATCACATTCTTCCTTCAGATTTTCGGGACTACATATTCTCATCGCTCTGAGGAAGAATCCAATCACTACCCCCGATTTCGTTCTCCTGCTATGAGCTGAAAAGAAATGAATATAGTCCTCTATGTTTGTGATTTTCCTATACACTTTGTATCTGATGCCGCTGGGCGTCCTCTCAATATGGACATCTAAGAAAGGTAAAGTATTGTTAGTTTCTTCTTCTAATGTAAACTGGATCCTCCTTTCCACCGCGTTCAGTTCAGCTAACTTTTCACTAAGATCAAGATTGTCTGGCACAACTAACAGGATGTCATCAACATACCTATACCAAACAACATCACCTCCCATGACGTTAAAATAATGGTCGGTCTCCATCATCTCCATGTAAAGACATGCCGCCACTGGGCTTAATGGGGACCCCATGGCCAGACCGTGTATCTGTTGAAATTCTTCCCCGTTGAAAGAGAAAACCTGAAAGTCTAAACAAAGTTGCACAAGCTGAATAAAGTGACTCTTAGTGACGGGGAAGTTTTCATCTGGGATGTTTTGAATAGCCTTCTTAATAGCAATGATCGCCTTTTCTACAGGGACACTGGTGAATAGCGCCTTAACGTCAAAACTAGCAAATTTCTTGCCACTCAAGTCTAGCTCACTTAGAAGACTTAGCAAATCACCGGAATTCTTTAAATGAGAATCACTAACCGTTCCAAGTAACTGAGTTAGCGGTCTAGCTAGCACCTTTGCCAGGCGATGCGGAGCGCTTCCGATACCCGATGTAATCGGTCGCATTGGGATTCCGGGCTTGTGTACTTTAGGCAGTCCTCTCATCCTCGGGGCCACTGGTGCTTCCTCGAGAAGATGTTGTAGCTGTTTTCCCTTTGCCGAGCTTCGGAGTATCTTGCGGGCCTTTTTGTTGAACTCGACACTTTGACATCTGATCGTTCCAGTCACTATTTTCTTATACGTTTCCGGATCGCTGAGCAGGTCTTGCATTTTAGCATCGTAATCTGACTTGTCCATAACAATGACTCCACCTCCTTTATCCGCAGAAGTGACCACAATGTTATCATCTTTGGACAACTTGACTAATGCCTGCTTGAATCTTCTAGGGATAGCACTGGGCTCATGATCCGCTAAAGCTTTACAGCTAGTGACGATCCCCTGGATGAACCCCTTCTGTATCTCAGAGTCCTTGAAGTTCTGGTTTTTAATGAGATGCTCAGACAGTGATCGATTGTCCGTGCCTGTATCAAATTTTAGTCCCAGAGACAAGGCCTGCTTCTCGTCGTTCGTTAGAGTTCGGGATGATAGATTTGTTATGATTTCGCTTCGTCCTGCTCCGGCCCAATCACTTTCAAGACATAGCTTGTTCAGCTTTCGATTTAGCCTCTCTTTTTGGTTGACGTTAAACTCTTTAAGTCTTACCTAAATCAGCGCCGCCGCATCTGAGAAGCAAGAACTCACCGTTCACGAGATCAGCCCGTGCTTACTTGGAAGAAGCATGTTCCAACCTTCGAGATGAGATAATACTTAAACGTGAAGAATACCAAGGCGGTAATATATCTAGAAAACACGCCGAAGAACTTAAAGAGTTTAACGTCAACCAAAAAGAGAGGCTAAATCGAAAGCTGAACAAGCTATGTCTTGAAAGTGATTGGGCCGGAGCAGGACGAAGCGAAATCATAACAAATCTATCATCCCGAACTCTAACGAACGACGAGAAGCAGGCCTTGTCTCTGGGACTAAAATTTGATACAGGCACGGACAATCGATCACTGTCTGAGCATCTCATTAAAAACCAGAACTTCAAGGACTCTGAGATACAGAAGGGGTTCATCCAGGGGATCGTCACTAGCTGTAAAGCTTTAGCGGATCATGAGCCCAGTGCTATCCCTAGAAGATTCAAGCAGGCATTAGTCAAGTTGTCCAAAGATGATAACATTGTGGTCACTTCTGCGGATAAAGGAGGTGGAGTCATTGTTATGGACAAGTCAGATTACGATGCTAAAATGCAAGACCTGCTCAGCGATCCGGAAACGTATAAGAAAATAGTGACTGGAACGATCAGATGTCAAAGTGTCGAGTTCAACAAAAAGGCCCGCAAGATACTCCGAAGCTCGGCAAAGGGAAAACAGCTACAACATCTTCTCGAGGAAGCACCAGTGGCCCCGAGGATGAGAGGACTGCCTAAAGTACACAAGCCCGGAATCCCAATGCGACCGATTACATCGGGTATCGGAAGCGCTCCGCATCGCCTGGCAAAGGTGCTAGCTAGACCGCTAACTCAGTTACTTGGAACGGTTAGTGATTCTCATTTAAAGAATTCCGGTGATTTGCTAAGTCTTCTAAGTGAGCTAGACTTGAGTGGCAAGAAATTTGCTAGTTTTGACGTTAAGGCGCTATTCACCAGTGTCCCTGTAGAAAAGGCGATCATTGCTATTAAGAAGGCTATTCAAAACATCCCAGATGAAAACTTCCCCGTCACTAAGAGTCACTTTATTCAGCTTGTGCAACTTTGTTTAGACTTTCAGGTTTTCTCTTTCAACGGGGAAGAATTTCAACAGATACACGGTCTGGCCATGGGGTCCCCATTAAGCCCAGTGGCGGCATGTCTTTACATGGAGATGATGGAGACCGACCATTATTTTAACGTCATGGGAGGTGATGTTGTTTGGTATAGGTATGTTGATGACATCCTGTTAGTTGTGCCAGACAATCTTGATCTTAGTGAAAAGTTAGCTGAACTGAACGCGGTGGAAAGGAGGATCCAGTTTACATTAGAAGAAGAAACTAACAATACTTTACCTTTCTTAGATGTCCATATTGAGAGGACGCCCAGCGGCATCAGATACAAAGTGTATAGGAAAATCACAAACAAAGAGGACTATATTCATTTCTTTTCAGCTCATAGCAGGAGAACGAAATCGGGGGTAGTGATTGGATTCTTCCTCAGAGCGATGAGAATATGTAGTCCCGAAAATCTGAAGGAAGAATGTGATCATATCACTGACGTTTTTAGAGGTTTGAGGTACCCCAGGGCATTTATAAGTTTAATAAGGCAAAAAGGATCAAGAATAGGACGGGAAACGAAACAAACGGAAAGACAAAGAACGCTATAGTTGTTGTACCCAGGTCACAGAATTGTGAAGCATTATCAAAGATGTTGAAGTGCTCTGATATTCAGATTGTGGAAAAGGCTGGGGAGAAGATTGGTCAGGTTGTAGCAAAAAAGAAAAAGTGTGACCGTAGTGAAGCAAGTTTAGTGTATAAAATACCGTGCAAGGGATGTACACAGCCTTATTTTGGTGAAACGTCGAGAGGGCTTGAGAACAGGTTAATGGAGCACAAGAGAGATTTTAGGAACCACAATATTAACAATGCAATGGTGAAACATGCCGAAAAGTGTGGTAGTTTACCTGATTGGGATCGCACTGAGGTCATACGAGATAGGTTAAGTAGGTCCGATAGAAAAACGATTGAATCGTCCCTCATTGAATCCTGTTTGTGTGTAAATTCCAAAGCTGGTGACATACGATTGGGAAAAAGTTTAGCCGTTCTTTTGGTGCGGAAGCGTCTTGGGATCTCAATCACATGAGGTCATATGAAAGTATTTGAAATTAATTTGCTCTGCTGTACCTATTTCGTCTCCGTTTTGTATTTTGTGTGTTTCATTTATATATTTGCACACTGATGAAGTGATATCGAAACCGGTTTGTGCAATATAATGTGTTCACATTATCGCTTTTCACAAACGTCAAACTGTCATACCACAAAGATGACATATTTATTTTAAACACTGTTTTTCAAACCTATAAGCATTGTACAGAAGACCGAATGGCACCGTTGCATTCATGCGACCGACGTGCATCTGTCACACTTGTTTCTGTTGAAATTGTACAACTTCAAAATTTGACCTTTCATGCCGAAACAGGCCGACAAACAAGCCCAGCCAGGCCTTTAGCTGGTGTGGGAGCGCCCACTGCCCTGGCGTGCCCGTGGACGTCCGCCGCCGCTGCCGGCCGCTGGGAGCCGGGCGCCGGCACGCCGCGACCGTACTCACGTGCGGAGTAAACACTTTGACCCAGCGGGCTGTGTGGTCCTGACGGCTGTACTGGAAACAGAACGCCTCCGCCTGCTCGTCCACGTCCCATTGCGTGATGCTCGACCACGGAAACTTGATCGTCTGGCCCTGTGTCAGCCACGTCAGAGACGGCAGGTCAGACGGGAGGTCACATGGGTGGTCACATGGGAGGTCAGACGGGAGGTCAGACGGGAGGTCACATGGGAGGTCAGACGGCAGGTCACATGGCAGGTCAGACGGGAGGTCAGACGGGAGGTCAGACGGGAGGTCAGACGGGAGGTCAGACGGGAGGTCAGACGGGAGGTCACATGGGAGGTCAGACGGCAGGTCACATGGCAGGTCAGACGGGAGGTCAGACGGGAGGTCAGACGGGAGGTCAGACGGGAGGTCAGACGGGAGGTCACATAGGAGGTCAGAAGATGGGTCAGATGGGAGGTCAGACGGGAGGTCAGACGGGAGGTCACATAGGAGGTCAGACGGCAGGTCACATGGGAGAAGTCAGATCTGATAAAGTCGCATGGGGGTCAAATGTAGGTAATGCTAAGGAACCCATCAGACTTACGAGTACAGCGGATTCAATCGCATTACAGGCAAGCATTTAACTCGAGTGACTGTCCCACCTTCACATCAAAAAGGCTTGAGGTACAGATGATTTTTCATGGCTCCAAGTGGAAGATAAGGATATCTCTTTTCCAAGCAGGTTACCGACCGAGCGACGAAGGGGCGGCGTTTTTTCTGTAACGCGCGAGGAAAATATACTCAATCTTCCACGGCCCACGAGTGAGCAAGAAATGCTCCTATATCTTTGTATGAAAATGTTAATTCATAATTCATTAAATTATATTCAAATATATTCACCAATGCAAAAAATATTTACACTAGTTTCATTTTAAATTCAAAGTTTCATCGCAAACACCAAAAAATGGTTCGGCTATGGACGCACCATCACTTGAACGCTTGTTTTTTGGCTACGAACCGCCGAGACTTCATTTTTGAATCTCAAAGGGATGAAAAGATAAGATGCTTATCTTTGCATCTCAGAGGAGTGCAAGATAAGTGCAAGATATAATAGTTCTCCCCTTAAACATTTCGTTGCATTTAGTTCAGTACTGCTGGATGTTTTTCGCGAATAGCTCGCGTAAAAAGCGGCCGATCGCGACGAAACTTTCAGGACCCTCGGGTTGATCAATTTTACTCCTATCCTGACAGGTTCATGTCCCTGACCCAAAAAACGACCTTTAGCCTGAGGCCTACTTCTCGAGACCATGCTTGGCCGGAATCGCCATTCGGCGTATGTCGGCTAACATTATCCACTCGTGTCCAGCCTTTTTGTGGTTGTAAACGTTCAAACATGTGAAATGATGTTTGTCCCATGCATTATGGTGAGTCAAGGTCACGTGAAAGTCGGGTCAAGGTCATTTACCGTTGATGACCTTGGTTCACTTTTGTTACTTTTGCATGTTTCAAGGGAAGTTTTTTTTTGCTGATTTCGATTTTATCACCCATTTGAATATTAACGAAGTAGTTTCGGTGCCTTTGTAGCGTAATATGTTACGAAGCTGTCTGTGGTGGTTGACCACTACTATGGATAGCCGACAGAACGCCTGCTGGTTGACCTGACCTGACCCGACCTAAATGGATTAAGACATCATCCGTGATAAAAAAAACTAGCATGAAATTCGTGATCAGCTCCCCGAAAACATTACAACCTCACTTTACGAAGGTCTAGCAGGTCCCAATTTTCCCGACTTTTGGGTCATTGACCTGACCTGAGAGGTCAAGTTGTCCACCGATGACCTAGGACCTTAAAACTGGGTATCACCGGCTTCCTCTCGACACTGACAGCACGCTCATTTTTTTTTTACGCGAAGCTCTTGCTCGATCAGGGGCCGAACGGCAAGAAAGGGCCAACGGACCCCCTCCCCTGTATGTACGGCTCTCGCGAGATTAAGCGGTAGGTTTTGCACTTTTACATTTCCGGCTATTCAGAAACTAATCGATCTACGATGAAGCCATTTTACACGATCATGGCCGGCTTCTGAACCAAGTAGATCGCATCTTCAACACTTAAAAAATTAAGACGACGACGATATAGCATGAAGTACACTAAATTTTCTAGGTGCAAAACCTACCGCTAAAACCCGCGAGACCTGTACACAGACATGTGCATGGATTCGAGTGATGGATCTATGATCTCAGTGGATCTCGAAGCAAAGTACAGGTTGGGATCTATGATCCCACCGGATCCGGCGTGAAAAATACATCTTGGATCTATGATCTCATATGATCTGACGATAAATTAAGAACATAGATCTATGATCTGAGTGGATCCCACCATGCACCACATTCTAAACCATGTTTTAAAGATAGTGTGTCACCTTCCAATGATTTCCCATTTTATTTTTCTTAGGATAAGAAGCTTCTGTTTTTACCTAATATCGCAAAAAATCAAAAATGGGCCTGGAATAGTGCCTTTTTTGCCTAAAAGTTTATCGGTTTTTCGATAAGTATAACAACTGTAGTGGGCTGACCTGCAAACAGGCGTCGGCAACAATCGCGAATGCGGCGCACATGTGACAATAAGCAAAGGTCATTATAGAATTACGACGTACGGGAATGATTTATCAGCTGTCTAATCGTAGACAACACAATGTCGAACTTAAACTGTAAGCCTGTATTGGTATTGGTTCTTTAAATTGGCTGTCGAACATTAATTTATGGTTTGAAATATGATTTTATGTAAAATAATTGATATGAAACAGCCGTTTCTTAAGTTATGACCCCATTTCACCACACGCAAGTTGCAGAAATCAAGGCGCAGAAATGACAATGATCAGCTGACGCATTTTTCTTGGCCGAAGTCAGAGCGCGCGGCCCGACGCACCACGCGTATTTGGAAATTCCGACCTCGACGAGCATCAGAAGCCATCTAACAGACGTGTTCGAAACCGCAGGAGATGATGATGAACGGGTTTATCGAAACTTGATTGGATGAGCCTATCGGTAATAGCGATTTTAGTGTGTGCATTTATTGTTCATAGTGGTGTGAAATGTGGTTGGGGTAGGGGAAGTTGGGGCAATGCCGGAGTTGGGGCAAAGCCGAAATTCGAGATATTTCGAAAACCGTAAAACATGGATGCCACCTGTCAGTGATGCTCTGAAGCTTAAGTGACTACAATTATCGCATGTTTGTTACGAGTCGTCATTCGGAATACTTCGACTGTGAGGGCGCCAAGAGCGTTTTCAAGGTACGTTTCCCTTGTACTACATGCGCCTTTGAAGCTGCATTTTTTACTCATTATGCTACCGTTTGTCTGGCCAATTCGGTCAAGTAATCTTTAGCATGTCTTTGCATAAGTGTGCTGCCTATTTTGAAATTTATACAGCACGTTGAAAAGTTATGGGCCTGCAAATGAAAGTATGGCTGGCTGGGGTAATGCCGAAAACGTGCGATTACGCACGTGTTAAAAGCACGCTACGTGGACTTTACTGCTGTAGAATAGCAACGCGTATTTTTAGTCACACAAATTACACTTTCAACCGACACAACGGCCTGTTACCTATAAGGAATGATTTACCTGGCATTTTCTTATTATCTCACACAATTATAACTTCCAGTGTGCACCGCGTCCTCAAGCTCTTGAAACGTGTGTCAGCTTTGATGAATTCTGGATAAAGTTTGAGATAAAATGGCAAAACATCAATGTCGGCATTCCCCGTAGATCATTTCTCCCATTTTCGGCTTTCCCCGCAGTCCGGGGCAACGCCGAAAAAGTCACTTCTTTGATATTTTTAGTTTGTGCGCTTAACGGTATGCGAATTCATCAAATGCGCCTGGTATGTTTGAAAGGCAAAAGACTGGCCTCTCGAATGACGCCAACAAGAATAGCGTATGTTGTCTACCTTGCGTGCTACGGGCGTCAGAAAAAAAGTCTTCGGCGTTCCCCCAACTTCCCCTACGACCGACAACCCGTCGGGGCGAATTTCGCACTGGGGTACCCAAAATTTGAATAATTTAAGACGTTTCCATGAGTTTTGAAGGTATGGATAAGTTCTAAAAATCCGGTTCTCCTTATCCGGGTCATTAACTCCATATGGTCCAAGAAAGCTGGCACACTACCTTTAAAGGGTTTATATGCCAATAAGTGACACAAAATCAGGATTATGGCGTGTGATCACATAAAATCACTAAAACAGAACGTTTGTGAGTTGAAACAAGTGCTTCTTTGGGATATATGTGTTGACAAAAAATAAGTGAGGATCTATGATCTCACTGGATCTCAAGCAAAAAATGAGACTCGGATCTGTGATCCCTACGGATCTCTCGATAAATTACAGAGCTGGATCTATGATACCGTCGGATCCGAGATCAGGATCCGTGGGATCACATCCCAGATCCATTTTATCGGATCCATGCACATGTCTGCCTGTACATACGTTAGACGCTGGCAAAGCACCAATACGGGCGAGGGTTCATTATCTGGTGTTAGCGCTAAATGGAATAAAATACCTAGCTAAATGTAATAAAATACCTAGCTTTACGAGGCGTTTGCATTACCGACCCGACACCGCGGCATACTGTGCGGGCCCCCTTTTCATTTTTCGCGGCGTTTGCCGTGCCGCTGCTGGCGGCGTTGGCATGCGTTGCGGTAATGTTATATATTTTTCTCATTTTTCCTTGTTTGTTTTCTTTTCAAACCCTCGGCCCGGAGAGTCGGAGATGCCCTTGCACTGCGGACTGCCACTCCGAGTTATGATGCACTTGGACGTGGAATGCCACTTCTGGACTAACTACACTGGCTGAATGACTTTTCAACGTAGGATGGACAATCCAAATATAGACAACTTCTGTACTAAGAAGCATTCTTTGAATTTTAGAGTGAGCAGGGACGGTAGCATCGCTGACTAAAAAAGTCGGTGAGTGTACGAAGTCTGGACGGGTGCAGGGGGTGGAGGGGGGGGGGGGGCTGCGTCTGCACCGTCCATCCGCCCGGTACCCGTCCAAACAGCAGATAAACAGCACAGTTTGATGCGAACAATGCGGCATCGACGAGAGGCAGCCGGCGGCCGTTATCGGCCAGCGCGCCCCCCTGTCCGCCGGCCGGCCGGCCTGGTAAAACAGACAGACTCCCGACCGCCGGCCGGCCTGGCAACTCAGACAGACTCCTGTCGGCCGGCCGGCCTGGTAGTACAGACTCCCGTCCGCCGGCCGGCCTGCTAGTACAGACAGACTCCTGTCGACCGGCCGGCCCGGCATTATAGACAGACTCCTGTCGGCCGGCCGGCCTGGTAAAACAGACAGACTCCTGTCGGCCGGCCGGCCTGGTAAAACAGGCTCGTCTTTGAACTCGCCGTAAATCAATGTTCGCTTTGACTTGAAATTAACGCAGTCCGTATAACATGACTTAAATTAGCCAGTCATTCAATCTAAGTAAAGCGATAGAAAAACTATATAATCGATCCAACACTGTTCGATGTTGTCAAATGACATCCAACCATCTCATTCCATCGGGCTAGGCGCCGATGGAATAGAAACGGCATGTTTTCCACGTACAGGGTCCGGCAAAAGTTTACTCTACCTATGACAACACTTTCCGGTTCCTAATAGTTGATACCCCTAAGGAATAACGGTTCTGGTTGCACCCCTGCATTACGCGGTCTTTCACCGAGGGACATGGGGTCACGAAAGGACCTCAGGTAATGGGTCACCGAGCTACAGCCGGTTTTGCATAGATTGTCCCACCCGAACGGCCGCGTAGCAAAATGAAGGCCTGAAATTTCTATCTCGAGGAGCTGAACCAGACAGTCGACACGCTCCAGGCCAAAATGACACAGCATGCCAGCTGATCAGTTGGGGCATCTGCCTGCACATAAACATACTGCTGTAGGCAGCGCCGCTGATCGTTCCAGTGTGGGCGTTCGCCCACCATTTCGACTGTAACCGTAGTCGCATTTAAAAAGGCGACCGGGGAGAGTGGCCAGTTGGTGACAAAGCTGGCAAAGCCACTTATGCTCAAGGGCTATCCAATGTCCAGACACGACCGTGAGACACTATTGGAAGAGCCCTCCGAGGCTCCTTACATACAAGAGCCTCCAGCGGCTCAGTTCTAAGTCGACGCATGGTCGATGACAGGTCGACATGCATTTTCATGCAGGACGACGCGCCAGCTCATCGCTCTGCCAAGGACCAGCGGTGGTGCGAATCGAGCCTGCCGGACTTCTGAAGGAAGGAGGTGTTAGCCGGCTGCCATCCGGACCAAATCCTGATTGAGGAACTTTGGGCTATCGTCCAGCAGGGCCTGGACAAACAGAACCCGGCGGCCAGCCTGGACGCCCTGCCGTTACAGCTCAGCTCAAAGGGACATGGTCGAAAATCAAGCCGCCTGAGCTGCACAGCCTGGTTTCAGCATGCCAGCATCCCTGTAATTTCTTGGGCAATATGCTGAACACTAGAGAGAGAGCGAGAGAGCGAGAGAGCGAGAGAGCGAGAGAGCGAGAGAGAGAGAGAGAGAGAGAGAGAGAGAGAGAGAGAGAGAGAGAGAGAGAGAGAGAGAGAGAGAGAGAGAGAGAGAGAGAGAGAGAGAGAGAGAGAGAGAGAGAGAGAGAGAGAGAGAGAGAGAGAGAGAGAGAGAGAGAGACAGAGAGACAGAGAGAGAGCAAAACTTATCCCGAACCATGTACTTAGGGTGGAAAAATGTACGAATGGGGCACATATAGTGAAAATTGAAGACAACGTCCTCTGTCCTTTCCTTTCCTCTGATGTTGTTTAAGGATATACACCATTTTCGATGCATTTTAAGACAAATGAAGTCCAATTTAAAACAGTTGATTTCTGAATTAAAACAATTGACAGGCGGGTTAAAACACGTGACATTCAGCTTAAAACAACTGACACGCGATTTAAAATAAATGAAAAGCAAATTAATATAAATGACATGCAATTCAATCATACAAATATAGGTACGTAAAGCTATGCTGAATAATTATGTTTTACTGCAAATGAGCAAAAATACTGTGTTCGTCTACATGATTATTTGTAGGGAGAAAATTGAAAGACGCCTCTTTTGGACGAAAGTCATTCTAAACACTTTCAAACACCGAATTACAATTTACAAGTAACGTTGACAGTTGACCCAATGAACATAAAAATACATAGCACCCGTGACCCCTGTTTATGTCCATGAGGTCATGTCAGGTCACGAAGGGTATCTAGCAGGTTTTAGCAAATGGATAGAGGCATGTTAGAGTCATGAAAACGCCTTAGATTTGTAAGCTCCACCATACGAATCGGCTGATACGCAACATGACCCTTTCCGGTCAGGTCAAGACCTTGGCCTGAGGTCATTTTTTCAATTTGACCTTTCAAGGTCAACTTAAAGTTCATTCGATGCGTCTTGACGAGAGGAACGCGATGCAGGTAAAGTTTAGCTTGTGCAAAGCTTGAGTCATAAGTAAGTGCAAAAAAAAATCCGCCAACCACCTGCAGGCTAGAACATTGACGTTAGATCAAATATGGGAAAAATATTCAGAGAGAGCGTTAAGTGGGCTATCAAATGCGCCTTTCCTCGGTGCTGTAGCTCTCTTGGTTCCCGAGTTATGTGTCGGCTTCTAAAAATTGTTGACATTTGACCTGAAAATCTGCAACATTTGGCCTTCAATGACCTCTGGTGACCTGACTGACCTTTGAGCAAAAAGTGACTGAAGTAGTTCCGTCATTTTGTTTTGTCGCTCTCTCGCACACTGCCTTCCGCGTATCGCTACGTGGCCCAGGAGCCGAGTTAGGAGGGGAAGGGTGTTCAAACACCCCCCCCCCCCAGCAGGGCGTGGAAATCCAGGCCCCCCAGCGGGATGCGGGTTAAGAAGGAGAAGGACAGTGTTGAGTGTATGTAGTGTAGGATTCAATGTCTTCGTATGGAAGCTCTAACGCCAGTCATTTTGAATTTTTAATCCAATGAAGCATTGCTATGTTAAAGTTCTACGAACTGTCACAATTGCAAATATGTAGTCGAACACATTGTTAATTTTATTTGCACTAAAACGTAATTATTCAGCATAGTTTGAAGTAACTATAATTTTATGATTAAATTGCATGTCATTTATATTAATTTGCTTGTCATTTATTTTAAATAGCATGTCAGTTGTTTTAAGCTGAATGTCACGTGTTTTAACCCGCCTGTCAATTGTTTTAATTCAGAAATCAACTGTTTTAAATTGGACTTCATTTGTCTTAAAATGCATCGAAAATGGTGTAGTGGTTTGATAATGGAGCCCCGGTCCGCGGTATGGAGTGGAGCCCCGGTCCGCGGTATGGAGTGGAGCCCCGTTCCGCGGTGTCAGCCCCGGTCCGCGGTATGGAGTGGAGCCCCGGTCCGCGGTATGGAGTGGAGCCCCGGTCCGCGGTATGGAGTGGAGCCCCGTTCCGCGGTATGGAGTGGAGCCCCGTTCCGCGGCGTCAGCCCCGGTCCGCGGTATGGAGTGGAGCCCCGGTCCGCGGTATGAGCCCCGGTCCGCGGTATGGAGTGGAGCCCCGGTCCGCGGTATGGAGTGGAGCCCCGGTCCGCGGTATGGAGTGGAGTCCCAGTCCGCGGTATGGAGTGGAGCCCCGGTCCGCGGTATGAGCCCCGTCCGCGGTATGGAGTGGAGCCCCGTCCGCGGTATGGAGTGGAGTCCCAGTCCGCGGTATGGAGTGGAGCCCCGGTCCGCGGTATGGAGTGGAGCCCCGGTCCGCGGTATGGAGTGGAGCCCCGTTCCGCGGTGTCAGCCCCGGTCCGCGGTATGGAGTGGAGCCCCGGTCCGCGGTATGGAGTGGAGCCCCGTTCCGCGTTGTCAGCCCCGGTCCCGATGTGAGCCTCACCTCTGACGCGCCGTCCTCAGAG